AGGCACATTTGAAGCTTATCATAAAAATTCAAATTCAGCACATTAGTGGAAAACATTCCAACAGCCCCCTGGCCTACCAGCCCCCTGACCGGTCTACTTACCCTGCGCTCCATCTCGGCCAGCCTGGCCTTGACCCCGCTCAGCTGTTTGGAGCTGTCGCTGGTGACCTGACCCGTCTCCTGCTGTAGCTGCTGGTACTCCTGACGCACCGACGACAGCTCGGCGCACCATCTGTCGGCCGCACACAGAACTACAGTGTGGTAGAGGCACACGGGTTGGAAAAACGTCTTGTTCAGAGTAAGCGTGAAAGCTGCAGTTACCAAAGCATGCACTTTGCGCCCATTCTGGTCATCCTAATTACAGGAAATTATTAATGGCGCGGCTGAACAGGTGCTGACGTAGTGTGTGATACAATATATTCCACACAATGTCGAAGAAGAATTCGCGGTCACCAATGACCACACATACCTGTTGTCTTTCTTGCGCCTCCTTCAGCTTGGCCTCCAATGAGGCAATTTTTTGGTCTTTTACCTCCATCCCCTTTTCAAAGCCTCCTCCATCATCTGTTCCAAGGCTTTGAAGCGACTGAAACGTAAAAATTCAGCCTTATGGTTCTGAACATGGATACGTGATGTCTCACCCAACAAGCTGACAGACCATTTCTTGCCGTAGTATGCCTTATCAAACCATTGACATAAGAACATGTTTAGAAGTCATGAAAAATACATGCTTGCAAAGTTCATGGGCTTACATCTCCACTTCACTCATGCGTACCCTATCTACCATAGCCTACAAATTTGCATATTCCCCAAGGTGCAAGTATTTTCGTTAATCGTAGCCTTACTTTTATAGACTTGACGACCAGCTACCACAGGAAGAGAATAGGGTACGATGACGTAAGCGTCTGCACCCTAACAGTCCCCCGTCTCCTACGCCATCCAGGCCATCTCCACCTCCCCTCCCTCGCACCTCTCGCCGACCGTATAGTCGGAGGCGACCAGCCGCTCCTTGTCGATGCCGACCCGCTGCAGCTCGCCGTTCAGCTGCTCCAGCTCGGCGTTCAGCTGCTGCGTGCGGATTTTCTCCTGCACCAGCTCCTCGCGCAGCGCGCACAGCGTCTTCTTGTCCATACGGGTCTCCTGCACCAGGCTGGTCTGCGCCGAAGGGGGGGAGGGGGGGGGGGTTAACACAGGGACGACACATGCAGGGAATAGGTCACAGAGCGGTGATCTGGGGCGCGCTGAAAGCTTCTGGGCGCATAGCTGCGGATGCGCGGATGAACGCGCGACTTAGTATTATGATTTTAGTGGATGACGTGGATGGCACAGTACATGCCACGTGCGGCCTCCCGTCCAATGAGTCAGGAGAATAAGCACGATCATTATAGAGACTGTTGGAAGGTCGTTCTGGCCAGTAGAACGGAATAAAATTGTATCTCAGGAATGTGCCATTGTCCATGAACTTGACAACTTTCCAACGCGACAGATCGATCACGAATTGTTCGCGGACCGATCATGAGATTCTCGTGCAGGCGCGCCTCAAACCCACGCACCCAGCCATGATCCCTCCCCCACGCTGGCTCTCCCACCGGTCCACTCACGCACCTTCTCCGTCTCGAGCTGCTTGAGCATGGCAGCCTGCCCATCGCGTTCCTCCAGCTCCTTGGTCAGCCGGCGCCCCTCGCGCTCGAGGGTCGCGGCGCGTGACGAGAGCTCGTCCACACTGGCGTCCTTCACCTCCACCCGCCTGGCGGAGGCGCGCCGCCTCCTTGGCCAGCGAGCTCTTCTCCCGGCTGAGCATGTCGTTGGAGGCCTCCAACTCGGTGTTCTCACGCTTCCAGCTCGTTTCAGGCGCCGCGTCGACACTCTAGAGCGAGGGGTCAAGCGGGGGTAACAGGGGCGAAGGTGCTGAGGCCAACAGGGACTCACTGCTAACAAAGACAGAGGGAAGGACAAACACTTCGTTGATGGCGTGGTCAGGTCTCACTCTCAAGCACACTAGAGAGCTTCGATCATAAAACCGACCGACGATCTGCCTCTAGCAAATAATATCAATGGTTGAACCGATCGACCAACACCATGACTCGACATCACGGAGCATACTGTACCGACACAAATCATGCTGTACGAGTTTCTCACGACACGGGTAAGAAAATCGGACCCTCGCCATCACCGAAACCACACTGTCCACGTCCTGCGCGCACCTTGAGGGTCTCCACCGTCTTGAGCAGTTTCTGGTTTTCGGCGTCAAGCTCGCGGGTCTCGCGCTCCATGTCCTGGGCGCGCCGCTGCACCGCCTGCGACGTCTTCTCCAGCTTGTGCTTCTCCGTCTGCAGCGTGGAGAGCTGCCGGCCGGCGGATGGTGGTCAGACCGAGGTCGCCCGCGGAGATTTGCCTCTGGCGCTGATCCCCCACCTGTCTGTCTGAGTGCTGCTGATGTCTATAATACCCGGCAATGGTGCTGTTTCGGACTGAGATTCTGGGCTTACGCAATGTTGCCAAAAGTTGGTCTGACGGCACTTGAGAGCATACTCCTACCATTTTCTTAGCCCGACCACCTTAGAAGAAAATCTGTTTACATATTTGTCTGGAAATAAATGACGGCAATAAGCTTTCTACTTAAACGAGACGCGTGAAACGCCCATTACCAAACAAAGGGCACAGAAAAGTCGTCCTCAGCCCTGGCGCTGTCTCCATACCTGGACATCGCACTTGATGTGGACATCCCGGAGCGTCTGCAGCTCCTGCTGGAGCGAACTGCTGCTCTTGAGCAGCTGCTCCTTCTCCTGCTGGAGCTCCTCCAGCCGGGAGGCGCTAGAGTGCCCCTGCTCCGTTAGGTGGCGCTTCTCCACCTGGAGCGCGGCGTTGTCCTGCTTCGCGCCGTCCAGCTGCGGGGGAGGGCGCAAAGTCAGAGGTCACCTCATGTGTCCGCTGACGAGCGACCAGCATGTAAACGGTGCCTTGGAACAGTCCAAACATTGGGTCAACCTCATTTTGGAAACGTTTCTTTCGCGCGGATTCGGGGGATCCGACGGATTAGTCGCGGATCCGGCAACCACATCACATTTGGGTCCTTATTTGAGCGGAGTCCTGAGAGGTCGACGCAGGCTGACGGCAGAACAAGATTGAGGCCTGCAAATTACGCACGCTCGCACAAATACATGATTGTCGTATTTGTCCCTCGTTATAAATGCATGCCGAGGGGAGAGTGACAATGATCTGTGCACGTTTTCTACCGTGCAGCGCACTGGGAGTACACGAATGTAACCATACAAGGAGGGGTCAAACGCTCACCTCAGATAAACCCGGACGAAAACGCGGCCTGCACAATCGAAAACCCGTCCACAAAAACGCCAGGGAAATTTAAATATCCTCCAAACCACACGACTTTTTAGCGTACGTAAATGATCTGCACGAGAGCATAACCCACGGAGCACGCGCGGCCCGGCCGGCAATCCACCGACGCCAGTCAGCGGGCCAAATCCTCTGGAGCTCGCCCCACCCATTATCCCCGTTAATAGAGGCACGGCCTTCGTCCACGCCGACTGGCTGCGTTTTTACTCGGCGGCCGCGCACGCATGGCGGCGCCGACAAAAATGGCTCGCGCGGCAATCATGCGCAGTTTTTGCCACCGGCTCGTGGCGCGGCCGGCGGTCCGTGACCTAAGTCGCGCCTCGCCGAGCGGCTGGGGTCAGGCGACGAGCCCCAGGGCGGGGCGGCGGGGAAGGTGTGCCCAGCGGCCGGGGACGAGGCTGGTGCCTCGGCCCTGAATGGAAGGAGTGGAGTGTGCTGGATGCGTGAGGCACAAGGTGTAGTTTCACAAAATCACGGCGGGGGGAGGGAGAATGAACGGGGAAAAATGACCCAACCTATGCCCAAAATACGTTAACAAACAGGTTTCTTCCCAGATTTGGTGCACTTCCTTCCCAAAATTGGGGAAGCCCAAGCTGAGGGGAAGGGTGCTGAACCGCCCCCCCCCCCCCCCCCCCCCCCAATTGAAAGGGAAATTACACCTCTGGCGAGGTGTTTCTACTAGCCGCGTCCAGGGCATCCAAACACACCGCGGAACAAATATAGCTCACACGTTGGAACTCCATTGCAAATTGACCATTTACCATCCGACCAGTGACCATGCAGCCATTTGGAAAAGGTTTACCAATGAAAAGTGGAAAATACCATCGCTATAGGTAGTAAGGCCAGGTCACCTACACCATATGAGCACTTTGATGAGGCATGAAATGCAATATTCATATCCGTACCACACCCCACTGCACACAGATTACCAGTAATCTTCAAAGCATATTACTGGAACACGTAATCTTATCTGCTCATCCCGTATGCTAATCCCCCATCCGCCCGCATCAGAGGAGCGCCGCTGGTCGCGGCGTCCGCCGCCCGCGCCCACCTGCTGTTTCATGTTGTCCACGAGCTTGGTGAGCCGCTGGTACTCGGCCTCCAGGCTGGAGTGCTCCTGCTCCAGCCGCTCGTGACGCTCGCAGGTCTGCCTCAGCGACGTGATCGCCTGCGGGCGGGGCGGGCGTCACGTGACGCGAGCACTGGCCGATTCGTCAACGTGGGACAATTCACCATGAGCAGGCCTATACCAGAGACGGGGGGGGGGGGGGGGGGGTCCGTGGCAGAGGTCAGCCCGTTCGGAAACGGGCCAAGGGCCGTGTTTCATATCCAGTAAAACTGACACTACGTGGTCACGCAATTCCTTCTCCGGTATCGCCAGATGTCTCCTATCCTCTGAAGCCCGTCCCTGTCCTATTTCAGTGGTCCTGTCTCGTGCCGCCATACCGAGTCCTCTCCGGTGGCGTCGTGCCCCTGAGCGCACGTCCCCGTCCCCTTCAGCCGCGCCTCAGTCCAGTTCTGACCGTCTGCAGGTGCCGGTTGTCACGCTCCGCATCGGCCTTCTGCTGCTCGGCCTCCTCCAGACGGAGCGAGCTATCGCGCAGCCGCTCCGTCAGCCGCTCCAGCTGCTGACGCTCCTGGCGCAGCCGCGACAACTGCCCGCTCAGCTCCTGAAACGGCCACAGGTGACGTCAGCATGACGTCACTGATGTCGACAGATAAGCTCCTGACGCCGCCGCCTCGACAACTACTCGCTGAGTTTGAAACAGCGGCGCGACGGGCAAAATACAACTAGCTATCAAACCTGCAAATCAAGGTTATGTGAGAACATGCATGCTGAAAGACGGAAGGGAAAAATAAAAATAAAGAAAAATCAAAAATCAAGAGAAAAAATCAAAAGTGGCTCTGGGAAAGAAACCATTCGTTTTTTAAGCATTTGCGGGCAAACGTGCGATGGGAATACGTTGTATTAGCCGGGTTTCAAAGCGACCTATGTCGAATGTGCATGCATTAATGTCGAACATTAATGCATGCACAAGATCGGGATGTTTCCAGGTCCAAAGTCGTTCCATACTAGAAGCAGCATATCAGTCAAAAACACATTTTCCGCCGTTTCCAACGATCGCCCCAGGCGTAAAAGTTCAGCAACATTCACGTTTACAAGAGGCATTCTCCCAATTGCAGCATCACTTACTTGGTAGGGCCCCGACAATGTGGTTTGACAAGCGACCAATGGTTACAAATGTCGCTTTTAGCGGTGTTCAGCCTCTGAAGTGGCTCTCGTCGACACTAATCGACCGAAAAGCCCCCCGGCCGCTGAATATGCATGGCGTCATTAATCTCCCACGTCCTGATGGCCAAGCGGCGGCGGACGGCTTCTCGAACGAGAGGGCTTGGTCCGAGCCAGCGCGTCCGCATCCAAAATAACACCCGCGACGAAGTCGGAAGAAAAGGGCGAGCCGATGGTGTGGCAGGGGTGGTAGAAGTCGAGATCGGAACAGATTAGCACCGTCGCCGTTTTAAATGCTGTAAGCCACCTGCAAACGTGTTCGAGCTAACACGCAAGCATGGGGTTCACAGAAAATATATGCATAGCGTGGCATGCACGGTTTTCATTCTTATGCCGACTGGCCGCGCCTTTGCTAAGCTAAAGCGTTTCCTCGTGTCGGAATGAAAGCAGCATTCTTGAGATGGACATGAGTAAGAAGGGGATTGCATTCCGGCCGCGTTGCGGACCTGGTTTTTGACGGTGAGCACGCTGTTCTCCTGCTCCACCTCCTGCAGGCGGGTGTCTCTGGTCTTCTGCTGGCGCACCCGCAGCGTCTCCACCAGCTCCTGCAGCTGCTGCTTCTCCCGCTGCCGGACAGACGGTGACGTCAGGCCCGTGGTCGCCTCGAACGCTCGAGGCCTGGCTCCGGCCCCGTGATATCGTGAGGGTGCGGCTATTTACGACTGCGATGACACCCACTATCGGGCCAATCACCTCCTGCATGGGAACGATAGTGGCACTGTGCGCGATGCAATCAGGATATATTGCATGGATGTCCGCTCAGATTGGATCAAAATTAAGGGAAGACGCGCGGGTTGACGGGAAAGGGGACGGCTTTGAATGCTGCAAGCCATAGAGGGGTGAGTAAGGAAGTAGGTCCAGGGGTTGGGAAAAGAGTGAGTCGGTTGCGGGAGGCCGCCAACTGAAGTTGGTTGCATTCGTGTTGTCTGTCGATGGAGGCAAGTAGTTTGTTTTTGGCTTAAGCTCAGGCTCGACAGTCATCACCGCCAGTTGCATTTAGCTGTACAGACCGCGATGAACCGCAGTCTCTTTCTTTTCGTTTGAAATTGTGCAACGATTAAAACGCGAAAATCAGGCAGTGAGAAGAAAAATGGAAGATCTCAAATATGCTGGGCGATAATGTTCCAAACCAAAACCTCACTGAGCGATCAAAGCCAACAGAAATGCACCGCGGAAAACGATACAGCGGCCAGACATAGACCAATCTTGCCCACCAACCGACCGACCGACAAAACTGCCCTCCCGAATTTATATCTACTTGCTCGCCTAACCCATCAGCACGCACGGTCCTGTCATCCAGAGTGGCGAGCCACCCCAGCCGTCGCCGTGGCCCCGGTCACCGTGCTGACGGCAGCCGCACGCACCTGCAGCTCGGCCTGCTGCCGGTCGCTGTTCTCGCGCACCGTCTCGATCACCTCCTGGAGCCGCTTGGTCTGCTGCGCGCCCTGCGACCGCTCCTGCTCCAGCTCCTCGGTCCGCGCCACCCTCCTGCTGGCTCGCCTCCAGCAGCTGCTTCCACCTGCCGCGTGAAGTCACAATGGCCACGTGACGTGTGTGTGCGTGTGTGTGTGTCATTGGGGCTCAACGATGCACTCAACTGCTGAGGCTATATGGCGTCGCCTGCCTCTTACCCGACAGGAAGGGAGGGCACAGCGGGGAATCAAACCCCGTACCTCTGGTTTCCGAGATGCGCAGTGGTTAACGCAGACGCGTTAACCACTACGCTAGCGGCAGCCCGCCACGTGACGCGACCGGAGTGGGCGGCATGCCAGGACGGGGAGGGGGGAAGGGCCACCAGTAAAGAAATGGGAGACTCTGGGGTGGAGCTTTTAAAGTCTTTGGGGCTCAACGATGCACTCAACTGCTGAGGCTATATGGCGTCGCCTGCCTCTTACCCGACAGGAAGGGAGGGCACAGCGGGGAATCAAACCCCGTACCTCTGGTTTCCGAGATGCGCAGTGGTTAACGCAGACGCGTTAACCACTACGCTAGCGGCAGCCCGCCACGTGACGCGACCGGAGTGGGCGGCATGCCAGGACGGGGAGGGGGGAAGGGCCACCAGTAAAGAAATGGGAGACTCTGGGGTGGAGCTTTTAAAGTCTTTAGGAGATATAGGACGAGCCAAAATTTAATAATCCTGAGCGTACGCGACTGGGAGCAAGGGCAAACAGAGAATTTGCATTAAAATGGCAATGAAAGATAATTGTCAAACTTTACGTTTATTTGGTTTCATCACAGAAGGCACCAAGAGCGAAAACAACGGAATGCATAATTGCACTGTCTTTGGAAACAGCGCGGAGCACATGGCTCCATTCTCCACAGACACAACCATTCCTCGTGACAAACAATTTTTTGACGAATCTTCACCATTCAGGTACAGTTACTTGATAGCAATCGCACACGTCGGTAAACATGCAACGACACGATCACTTCATCAAAATTCATCGTGCACGGATCAGACCGAGCACGAAACATCGCCTACCACAACACAAAAATGTGTCCGGTCTTGTTACAGCCCATCGCTAGCGGAGCAGCGATAGTATCATCCTTGGCCTGAGAGCTCTGACCGGCCGTTATCCCGTCACACCGCGCGGTGTCCACCGACCTTGAGGCTGAGCCGCTTGTTCTCCTTCTCCAGCTCAAGGATGCGCTCGTTGCTCTGCCGGGCGTTGGCCTCCTTCAGCGACTCGACCAGACCGACCAGGCGCTGGTTCTCCAGCTCCAGGCGCAGCGCCCGGCCGTGCGCGTCGGTGCTGAGCTGGTCCGAGAGGCTGCTGTGGCCGGAGGAGCCTGCCGCATGCACATCACGCGATGAGAACGCGCTCATGCAGGCACATTGCGTGCTGAGAACACGATCACAAGCACAGGTCGAGCGTAGAGGTTGCGTGTTCAGTATCGCACAAAGGCCCAGGCCATGCGCTGAGAACGCAGAACAGCAGGACGTATCACCCACCGTCGGGAGCCCTTTCTGGAGCTGCATTCCTGGCCGACTGACCTCAGGAGTCGGCGGAGTGCATCGTCCTCTCGGGGCAACAAAAAGCAGGCTTCGCGGTTTGTCGCAGCTAATGCGCCTGCTCTTTTCTGACTCCTGACATCCCTCTACCCGGTCTAACAAGCTTCTGAGAATGGCAAACCCGCAGCGATCCATGGACGGGGGCTCCGACCTAGTAATGGGCCCAGATCAACTCACTGGCAAAAAACAAAGCGCAAAAAGAAACACTTCATGCTTCTAGAGGGCAGCGAATTCACCGCGTCGACATTCGTAAGCATAACACTATCAATGCTGTAAAAACCTGTATAGCGAGGATCTCTCGATCGGGAAAATCGTACAAGACTCCCCGCCGAAAAGCTATGACGCAACCTTCAGAGGATAATCTGGGCGCCCTCCGAATCACGCTTCATTGCCGCCGAGCGAAAACAGCTTAAGACATTAGAGCAGCGAGGCGTGATGAACGAACGCAGCTTACAATCCCGGCGATCACGACACTCTCCAGCGGGTAATCAGAGAGTGAGAGCGTGCAGTGTTTGGGCCGCCACTCGCAGCGCGCAGTGCGCCTCGCTCTCTGCATTGATACACAGATGCAGCCGTAGTGCTCCACGTGGCGAGTTCGAGCCTTTCTGTGACCTACCACATCACGCACATTTCTCCATGCCCCGAGTCACAATCATAGGCGTAGGCGGTGTGATACTGCATTAGACATTCTGTACGGGGTGCCAGTTGTTTGACGAGAGTCATTGCACCGCTTTCTATAACACAACGCGGGCGTTGCGAGTATCTTTTTGATCTAACCTCGCAGCTTTTCCATGCCGCCGTCACCAAAGCAGTGGACCCTGGGGGTTTCGTGAAGAAAGGGGGGGAGAAACCAATAATATTTCCAAAAATCACTACGCACTCAAAAAGTATGGACACTAAGCGCCCTAGACCACTGCTCTGAGAAAAGACGCCCTCCGCGGTCACCACCACCACGGTGTCGTCATTCCAACGCCGGTCGGCTGACCACGTACCATCCTTCTGGTGCGACCTCAGCGTGTCCAGCTCCGCCACCAGCGAGGCCGACTCGTTGAGCGTGTTGCGGCTGCTCAGCTGGAGCCGGGCGTTCTCCTCCAGCAGCTCCTGAATCCGGTCCCGGTCCATGTCCCGCTCCTGGCCGCCGAGCACGTCATCGACGTCACCGACAGGCACACAGACTATGACGGCAACCATGACGGGCACAGGGTGACGTCATCAACAGGCAGGCACGCCGTCACATCACCGATGAGCTGTGACGTCATCGACGAGCAGCGCAGGTGCAGCATGGTTCATTGTGACAGATTGGCTCGACTACACGCACGGGAAATTACAATATTCCGTTTTGAGAAGCTTGTATCTGATCGCTACAATCGTCTACCATCATGCCTTTGTCTGCTCAGCATATTCATTGTCTTGTCGCCACGTAGCGGTATTGCATCATATTATTTTATTTTATTTTATTTGCTATACCTGTCAAGCACGAAACCATGGCAGTCACGCAGGCGACGCGCACTCAGACCGCGCGACTGGCAGTTGCTGCGGAAAACGCGCTAAAACGAAACCACGGCAGTCGTGTCGGCCGACTCACCATACTGAGGTCATTGATCTGCTGCTTGTACTTCAACACGGACGTCTCCAGGTCCACGATCTGCTCGCTTCGCTTCCTGGCCGTCTCCAGCTGCTCCTCCAGCATCTCCTTGGTCTCCACGAGGATCCTGACGACACAGTGGATCGTGTCAGCTTGATCTACCGGTTCTTGACTGGCAGATCGTGAGACACTGGGGCACCATCGCCTAACGGAAAATACCCCTGAGCCCATAGATATCGGGAACGGCCTCATAACTTGAATGGCTGAGAGCGAAGACAATCTCTGTTATCACGCTACCGCAGCTGTGACTCAGGCGCTTTGAGAATCTTAACACACTTTACAGCAAACGATGAATGGACACCTGGAACGCAGTAATTTTGCTTGTCATCAATATTCTGCTTCCAAAATAGCTATCGGTAACTTTGCTTGTCTTTCAATATGCAGATCGTAGCGGTGAAATGTGGGCCGCAGCCTTCAGCACCCGGCTCGGCCTTATTTCCATGCGAACCAAATTCCGTGAGATTCCATTTTCTTTTCAATATATGACTGCACCCGAAAAGTTCATGCATCAGTTATGACAACCGTGAGAGTCTAACCTTGGTGAAGGCAAACCGAAGGCAAACCAAACCGCAAACCGACAAACCGCGGCATACTGGCGTCGCATGCGCAAATGCTGGATTATCATCACGTGGACGAGCATCAGCAAAGGAAGCTTGGCTGCACTCCAAATACAGCAATGAAAATCACTTGCAACATTGCAAACATGATCCCGCCAGCACGGCAAAGACGCATGCATGCAGCGCCTTCCAGAATCTCGCGTGTTTCAGGCCCCGTTTCCGTTTCCGGGGAGGGGGGGGGGGGGGGCAGGCGCAGCGGCTGACCTGTTGTCCTCGCGGAGTTCGTCGACGCGTGAACGGAAGAACTCAATGTCGTTCATCTTGTCGCGGTAACGCTGCAGCTCGGCTTCCAGCTTGTCCACCTTGTTGGCGCGCTCCTGCACGATGTCCAGCTCATCTCTGTAGGCTTTGGCGGCACGGGCGTCCTGCACCAGCTCCAGGTTCTGCCGCCGAGGTCAGGTCAGATCAGATTGGGTCAAGAAGAAATGTCCGGATCTAGACAGAGCAGGCTGGATAGAGTAGGGATTATGCCACTGTACACCAGGCCATGTCAAGGGTCAAGTCAGAGGTCGTGTCAAAGGTAAGAACGAATTCGAATCCTGGGTAAGCTGCTTCAGGTCGGGTTAAGTTACGATCAGGTCAGATCAGATCAGGTAGCATCACGCCCAGTGACAGGCTGCGCAGACAAGGTGTGTGAGCTTCAACAAAGCACTCATTAACGCAACGCATTAAGCCGTTTTGGGACGAATCTCTCGGCAATGTTGGGGCGGATGCATGCCCGAGTCCCCCAGGCTGTGGACATGGTCTGGCACGGTGAAAACAGAACGCTCGGGAGTAAACCAGAGTGTTCCGTGCACCGGGATTGACACACAGCCCCCTCCACAGGGCGTGGGTGTCCAGCCGTGTCAGATCGTCCACAGCTGCTGCAATTTCGAGCCGTGCCTTGCGAAGTTAGCCATCAAGCAGGTCAGGCTTGCAAAGTTAGCCATCAAGCAGGCCAGCCTGGCAAAGTTAGGCATCAGACAGGCCAGCCAAGACGGCGCTTCGTGGCCGATCGATTTGATTAGAGCTAATTTTCCACCTGCTCTAACCACATATCAACAGGGCTGCCGATCTGCGGGTGCTGTTGTAGGACAGACGCAGGCCAGCATTTAGGGAGCAATCATTCCCTTCGCCATCAGTTGCTGCAGTCGACGGCTGGCAGTGTTTCATAAACGTTTTCTGACGACCTCCACCAACCCGACGCACGCACGCCAACCCGGCATAGCCACGATTAAACGCTACCTTGCGGAAACTTGTAATCACCTCCCATCAGCGCGGAGTCAGCAGTGATAATCCGGACGTCCATTTCACGGACGCACAATGCGTGTTCCGAAACGATTTCAAGGAATTCCAGGTCCCAGCAATCGTTGTAATTTCCGGTCACGTAGACGATCCAGTTGAAGAGAGCGAAGTCGATTTGGCACCAGCTCTGCCGACTGCAGATGTTTGCAAGGGAAAGATGAGCTAAAAATAACCAAGCCCAAGTGGTTCGGGCCCCGTAAAGTTGCAATAGATCAGTCTTCGGTCATGCAGCCCAACAGATCGCGTCCATTTGCCTGAAGGCCTTCACTCGCAGCCGAAGCTTTTAAGAGCGGCCACCACTCTCCGTCACGTCATGGAATCGATGCTTTCAAGTACGTCATTCAATACGTGTGAGTGGGGTGGTCGCCCATTGCCCCGACCTAGATGAAGCTCGACGTGGAGCTCAAACGAGCTCGGCACTCAACTCAATGACTTGTCACACTGCGGCAGCGTCGGCTCGAGGCACAGCTTGGATGGAGCTGCAGTGATAGCAGGGTTCTCCGGCCTCTGCTACGAACTGACACCTCGCCAGAAGTGAGCACTACCCTCCCTCGTCTCTGCACGAGCCACCCGCTCCAGCACGCTCTCGCGTCCCGATCGTCCGAGGCAAGCTTGGATGTCCGGGACTCCAGCCCGACAACCACAGGCGGCGGCCACCCCGAGCCGAGGACCAGCACAACGGCACACGCGCTAACAGCTGAGCCCCGGCCCGTCTGTCGCGCTCCGCCGGCGCGCTCGACGGTCGGGTCGGCAGGTCACTGCGCCTCAGGTCAGGTCAGAGGTCTGGTCGCGACGGAAGGCGCTCTGGCGCCAGCTGGCCGCGACCCCCGCGGCTCAGTGCCGCCATCTCTCGGTGATTCATGTCGCCGCGTCTCCATAAAACCGGACCGGCCAGCCGGCGGCGCCGACGCCGCAGTGCGTCGCCGCTCGCCGTTTGTCCGTTTTTGCCGGCGGCTCGGGACTCCGGCGCGCGTTCCCAGCGTCGCGCCGCGCCGCTCCGCCCGACCTTGACCCGCGGGTCAAGTCGTTACGGGTCCACCCCGACTGTGCCGGCGAGGCGGCCGCGCCACCGGCGGAATCGATTCGGCGAGCCTGTCGGCTGACGTGCGGAACCGAGTCAGATGCTTCGAGGACGGTCCGTTACGTGCTGTCACGTTGCAGCGAAATGCCCGCAGCCCTGCGCCCCCGGATCAACATCGTCGCGTCTCAGATCTCCGCCGGCGATCTCATTAGCCGCGCGAAGCTCGCGGAAGCGGGTCCTTCTGGGCTGGTTCAGTACGGGATGTAAATGTCACCGGAGCTTCTCGTTCGTTACGGCGGAAACCCGAGCCAGCATAGCCCGGTGACGTCACTGCTGACGTCACAGGCGACACCTCTCAGTGCTGCCGATGACGATTTTGCTCACGGATACTTCAACTGGGCACTTCGTTATATCGAGGCACCGCAGGCAATATGACGTGATGTCACACAATTTTCTACACCGTAGTAAACCACCGTCAGCGACGCCACGAGTCATACCCAGTGACGCCACAACCGGGCGCCGGCTGCCAGCCTGCACGTTGACCCCCGTCCGAGAGCATAACCGGGTCAGCAGGCGGGCGCGCCATATTGGGCGGCGGCGGGCGGCCGGTGCAGCCGCGGCAGTCGGCCGGCAGGTCAGCAGGCTGACCCGGCCCGCCGCGTCCGGTCACGCTTCGCAGGAAGCGGAGCGCTGATCGAGGCCGGCTCTGGCGTGACCGAGGGTTCCGGCCTCGCCGCATTAGCATGGCAGGTCGGGCCCCACCAGGTGGATTTACTGGCGAACATGCTAAGCGTGTAGCATGTTGCAGAATCCGTATCAGATGGTTTCAATAACCGTAACTCACGATGATGAAATGGAATGAATGATAGCGGATCATCAATTTGCGGGGGTATTATTCAAGACCAATGAAGAAATGGCGATTGAGCATACTTTGATTGCCTTTTGATTGTTTTGGTGCCTCACAAAGGAAAGCATTACAATGCGGTGGGTGTCCAAACACGGCGTCGCCTGACAGAGGCACTCAACTCCTCACTCGCACAGCCCGCCGCCGCCGCAAACCAATTCCAGGCGGCGGCGACCCCTGCGACCTCTCCGATCCCGCCTGACCCGCTAACAAATGACCGGCCGCCGGAGACAATGGACAAACGAGCCATAGAGCGCTGGCCCCGGGCGCCGCCGGCGGCTCGGGGGTCACTCGGCCGGCCGCCGGGTCGGCCACACCGCTGATGGCCCAAACAGACCCCGACGAGCACGCACTGCTGACTGTGGTGCTCCCGAGACGACCCACGGCACTCGTGGACGGAGGACGCTGTTTGCAGGTGTCGGCAGTGGCCACGTCAGCCTTTGCTGCATTCCACAAGTTTTAGCACCTGCCAGCTGAACGACGTTCTTTCCGACAGCTGCGCTACATCAACTTTTCCAGTAGTCTCCAGCCGCAACAGCTCCCCCGGTCGAGTTCACCACCCGCAACCAGAGGATTCCCGACGTCATGCAGCACCACCGCCGACCGCTTGAGACCTTCAGACCCCGGCAAACCCCTGCAACCTGAGTCGACCACAGCCGGCGTGCGGTCCCCACCCGTGAGAGGGCGCGGCCGCCGGCAGCGGCGCCTGACGCAGCCGGCAGCGGTCGTCTGTGGTGGAGCCGGCCGCCGAGCCGGCGCCCCGCCTCGCTCGCGGGGACTCAGCGCGTGACCCACCTCAGCCCGCAACTTGCTCAGCGTCTGCTTGTTGGTCTCCAGCTCCTCCCGCAGCTCCAGCAACTGCTCCGTCTTCTCCTCCCTGCAAACGGCCAGATCAACGTCATGTTCAGCTGAAACACGCTGTACGATATACATAGCCACGTTTGTGAGATTCCTTTTCATCAGTGGAGATATCGGTGTGCTAGTGCACAGATGACCCTGTGCAATAGTTGCACGCGTTTTTTGCTACACATTGTGCCACATTGCTTTACCAACAACAGCTCTCACGCTTCCCCAAACCACTAGACCCCAGCCAGCGCAGATGATCATGTCGCCCAGCAAACCCAGTATAACGAGCCGGGAAGGCTTTTTGAGAAGAATATTTCCAGCATGTTACCACGTACCCTCTCAGGTCAAGCTCATTCGAGCTCAGTCCAAGTGAATACCCATTCAGCTTAACTGCTCCTCCAGGTAAATCCACTTACTTATCCGGGACAAACCGGCCACATCCTAACAGCACCAGCGAACGACGTTTTATGCTATTCAAGCACACCGCATCTCCGAAATGTCCACGATCAGTAGACACCGATTTATGACCAAGCGTCTTTATGCCGGAGTAATTTCCCTTCATCGGAAGCCCACGCCACGCTCAAAAGCTCGTCTGACCGTCAAAAGGTAGCCCGTTGTCCGCGGTCCAAGGCATCATGAGAGTTCCACTGCACATTACGGAGTCCACCCTTGTCGACAGAGGCCGCTTCCTTTGAGGAGGGTCACAACACCAACAGAGGCCCGCCTCACTGCTCATCATCTACCGCTATCTAAAACCATCTGACCACCAAGTGTCCGTCATACCATCCAACTGTTTCCCCAGTCCAGGTCAGTTTCATAATCACGCGCACAAATCCTGCATCACAAACCTATCCAACCTATTCTCCACCTAAGTCTTAAGTCCTAAGTCCTAAGTCCTAAGTCCTAAGTCCATTCCACCCTCCCAAGGCCAGTCCACCATCAGCAGCGCCTGCATCCCATCACAGGCCGAGGCCGAGCTCCCATCCGGCCATCAGAAGCCGGGACTGCCGCGGAACAATGGCGGTTACAAACAATTAGCGGCCGCCGGCCGGGCCGTGTCGGGCTCGTGTTCTCATGGCACGGGCAGCTGGCGGCCGCGCCGCGCTGTACCCAGGGAGTCAACGACACCGCCGCCACGGCCGCCACCGCAGCAGCGGCCGCGGAGGCTCCGCGCGCCGCTCGGCAGTCCCGGCCACACGAGCCGGGTCCGCGGACCGGGCTCAGCTGGCTGGGCCGGGCGGGGCTGGCTGGCTGGCCGGGCCGGGGCTGGGATGGTATGTTACGCACTACCAACACGCGGCACGAGGGCCCGCAGCAACGACGCATGATGCACTGATCAAGGGGAAAGAGCTATCGTGTTGTCTCGATTTCGCGCGTGAGGAACGGTAAGATGGAGCTGCGCTAAAGCGCTAGGTCGGTGCACGAGGGCGGGGCTGGAGCAGGTCATCTCGCGGCACATGTTTGATGTTTGAAGAACGCGGCACAAACAACCGGTCTGCTGTTGGGTGGGAGGGAAAAATGCGATGGGCGGGATAACCGATCTAAGTCACAGCCCGGATCGTAGATATTCGCAGATTGAATGAAGCCTGATCCGCGCTTGGGCCACATGAATACCGGACATCATTTAAAGCTGCTTATAGATCAATGCCTGGCAGATACATGCCTTTACGAGTGCATAAAGATGATCACCAGATCACCGCAGCTCTTTCAGTGTACAGACTTTAACTTTAACCGCAGCTGCCCTTGGGCTACGACTCGGCCAATGACGAGACGTCCCCCGAAGCTCTGAGAACCTAATTGGTTCGGAAATCCGTCCCGGTAATTGATGACATTAGGCGCGGGGCAAAAAATCGAAGCTACCGACACAAAAAATGGAGCGGAGTGAGTGAATAACTATAACGGTTTGGAGTATCGGGTCAAGCTTAATAAAACACGGCAGGTTTCAAATTCCAGAAGTCACCCCAGCCGGCGCGGCCAAAACAGTGAAACGCTGTACAAGTTCCCAAACTTTTTCATTTACAAGACCTTAAGTCATCCCACGGCTGTTTCCCGCGACAAACACGTCATTACAAACGCACTCATTACCATCTCGTTTTTGTGGCCATCGCCGAGCAGTGAGGATCCACGGGAGAGCAAGCGTTCACTTCCTCATGCCTTCCCGCGTCGAGGCGGTGAATCATCGGTGGCACCTGTCTGATTTACGGAAACCGATTGATTCGCCTCCGCTGCTGCCCCGGGCCGTAAACTACACGAGGAAGCATAAATCAAGCAGCGGCGAGCTGACGGTGCCGGCCGAAGCACTGCACGGTGGCCAGCGCGATCGGTGGCTAGCGGCGCACCCGCACAGCCCGCGTGATCCCGCAGGGAGGCGTGCGGCTCGCTGGAGAGCACTGGTTCGTCGTTCTCGGCACCAGCGGCCGTTAGCGGCGCCCTCAGTGGTCGGATTCGGCTCACAGGAGCGGCATGAGCCGAAGCCGATCACGGCAGCAGCGGAAGTAGCGACAAGAGTGGAATCCAGACAAAGAATAGAAGGCCGGCGCAGAAGGCAGGAGGCGGCCTAATCGCCGTGACGACAAGCGTATGAAACCCTTACAGAACTCAAATCAATGTTAGGGTGAACAATGAACAACTCACCTACAAACGATATAAGCGAGTGGCTCTGCTTGGAGACACAAGACAGGCGTCTTTTATCTCAGTTATCTAGTTAGAGTGAAGGAGCAGCGGAAGCGGCGCATGACATTACACAAAGGAAACGATGCGCCACTTACAAGGACGGGCTGAACCATGCCCCACATCGTCTCGATACCGCCGACCTAACATGCACCTTTCGCGCGGCAAACCCAGCCTCGCACGCCAAAAACCAGTCGCAGGACCCATTTGCGGCGTTTTGGTGTGCCGATGGGCGGCGCCCGAGGCGACCTGAGGTCGGCTCCAGGTCGCGCGGGTCACTCGTGATGACCCGCTTCCGGCGCCGGCCGGATCGGCTCGTCACGAGCGGCGCAGGGCCCGAGGCCCGCTTCCGGCCTCTTCGATCACCGCCGACGGCCGCGGCTCGAGCGAATCTGGGCCGAGGGCCCGGTCGAGCGCGGGCCGGCCGGTCAGGGGCGCGGCTGGGCCGGCCCTGACCTGACCCACGGCCGGCACCGTGCGGGCGCGAGGCCGACCCGCACGGCGCCGCCGGCCATCGGGGTCACGCGATGACAATCGAGCGAAGCGGGCAGCGCAGCCGTCGGCATGTGGAGGCTCGCGCGGGGCGCTCCTGGGCCGGCGGCTCTTGTGGAGCCTCGAACCTCATCCACAGCTGAGGTCTGGCCGGACCAACCGCACAGCGCGATCTGCCGACTTGGGACCGACCGTCACGGGAGTGAATCAGAGCTCGCTGGACGAGCGGTTGGGTCACGCGGCACCTCGAGAGCCCGCCACGCCCTCCTTCCCCGCACTCTGCGCTGGCCCGCAGCTGTCGGCCGCCCCTCGACACCTGCTCCCTCGGGTCGGGTCAGCAGGGTCACGGCGCGGCTGGCGGTGCCGACGGAGCCACTCGACGCTGAGCGTGTCGGACCGGCGCCAGCTGGCAGGCCGGGACGCGACCGGCCGTCACATTCCCGGCCAGTATAACAGGACGGAGGCACCCCGGCAACAGACGTCAGCGGTCAGCGTTCAAACGTGTGACGACAGTAATCCGGGAGCCATTCAGATCTTCCTGGCACGACGCAACATCAAATAACGCTCGAGTGCGTCACGAGTTACTCGGGGCATGAAACAAATGGATTCCCGCGAAATGGAAAGACCGGCACTTCGTGGAAAGCACCCTCCACCGTAGCCCATGATAGCTACTAATTTTCGGTGATTTTGCGGAGATCCGTACATTCCGCAGCGCTGCACACAAGTATTCCCGGATGCGCTAGCTAGTTTCGGCTAAGCTCGACTTCACGCCGGCCAAAACCATGACTATAAAACGGGCTGGATGATCCCCAAACTGCAGGTGGTCCAATCTCGGCCTGCACAAGTTGGGTACTTAAACCCCAAACAGCAGTGCTCGCAGCTATTGGGGATTATGCCACGCGCCAACAACTCCCATGGCTAAGCCAAACCACCCGAATATCACGCTCCCTGTGGAACACTGTAACACACACGGACCAACCAACCAGTGCACCACCAACATCCCGCGACGTCCCGCCGACGAGACGAGCCCAGACTCTACCACCTTCCCCCGCTCGGCCAGCGTGTGACCGGTCCCCAGCAGCCAGCCCCCAGCAGCAGCGCCCCAGCCTAGACTCCACCCCCCTCCCACTCAGCCAGCGTGCGACCGATGACCCGCAGCCAGTCCTCAGCAGCGCCCCAGCCTAGACTCCACCCCCCTCCCACTCAGCCAGCGTGCGACCGATGACCCGCGGCCAGTCCTCAGCAGCGCACCAGGCCGTGATTGAGCCGACCCGCCGCCGCGTACTCACAGTTCCTGCTTGACCTTGCGCAGGCGAGCCTTGCAGTCGGCCAGCTCGACCTGCAGGTGGTGGCTGCCGGCCTGGCCGGAGCCTTGGCGCGTCCGGTCGGGCCGGCCGGGACTGTCCGGCGGCCGGCCGCCCCGCTCGGCCAGGTGCTCCTGCAGCACCAGCTCCACCAGACGCTGAAATGACGGGCGGACAGGCGTCACACTTCGGTGAGGTGACTTACATGTGGAACATCACCACCTCTGTGTAAGGCTGTCGACATAAAACAGCAAGGTGAGATTCGTAGATTTCATTTATTTCATAGATTGTTCGTACAGCTGTAGGTGACAGCTGCGTGTTGTTCAAGTTCGTAAACCTTAGCAGACGAGTTACTAGGTTGCCAGACGTGTTATTCTTAAGAAGGCTGGAAAACTCTGCCTGGCAAACACAGGCCCAGAACACCTGTTAGAGATTGCCAGATAATTAAGACGTGCTCATCGCTGCGTTGGATCGCGCAGTGCCTTCTGACACGGGAGGCACATACCGGCCACGTATATTTATATTTTTTACCTTTTCTCCCATTCACATTTCTCGCCTTCATATTACTACAACAACAGAAAACGATTAGACCAAGTGGCAAAGCCGAAAACCATTCTGAAATCAGTGCGGGAACTCGGTGCAAAGTAAATACGACCATCGTCAGCTCTTGGCCCATCGGTTCAATGAGGTGCTGTAGCTGGCATTTACTCACGACGGTGCTGTTCGAACACCCAGCCGCCAGTGAAACTCCGGGGTGGCGAACTGAATGAAACTCCCCGAACGAACCCCGGAATTCCAACAGCTGCTTACAAGAGCACAGCCCACGGAAACCAACAAAGAGCGTCGGCGCCGCCAGGGCACGCATCCAAACTCCATCACAGACGCGGACTCCATCTCAAATGAATGAACGCCGGCCTGCGGACATACCGAACAGACCCGGGGGACGCGGTCGGCCTGTCAGTGGTGGGTCCGCGCCATCCGGGCGGGGTGGGGAGGAGGGTGGGGAGGGGGGAGGTTCAGCGGCAGGTAGCAGTGGCTGTTATCGGTCGGTTCCGCTGGCCAGCGTCCCGCACGGATCAGTCAGCTGCCGGAGGCGGGGCAAGCCTCCTCAGGACACTGACACCACACGGACGCCTGCAGCCCAAGCAGGCCCTGACACCCCTTTTCTGGCACCGCCCGGGGCACCGCCCGCACCAGCCGGGGCGGCTGACAGCCCCCATTGGCTTGAAAACGAAGTGGCCAGCGATTCCCGGGCGTACCTGATACCCCACCCCGGCTCTGACAGCCAGGCGCGCCTGACACCCCTCCCCGGCTCTGACACCCCTGCCGCGGATTGGCATGCTCCCCCCCCCCCTCCGCCCTCGACACCACGGCAGTGGATCGGCAGCCCGACGATGGAACCGACCCAGCCCCGGCGCTGGGGGCGCGGGTCGATCGTGCGGGGGAGGGTCGACGGCGTCGCACGGCCATGGAGGAGCGACACGGGCGCGGCCGAGAGGACAAGCCAGAGCAGGGCTCGGGAGGATAACGGGAGGAGGAGCTCTCAGCGGACACGTCACGAGTAGGAGGAGCTCTCAGCGGCCACGTCACGGGTAGGAGGAGCTCTCAGCGGACACGTCACGAGTAGGAGGAGCTCTCAGCGGACACGTCACGAGTAGGAGGAGCTCTCAGCGGACACGTCACGAGTAGGAGGAGCTCTCAGCGGCCACGTCACGGGTAGGAGGAGCTCTCAGCGGACACGTCACGAGTAGGAGGAGCTCTCAGCGGACACGTCACGAGTAGGAGGAGCTCTCAGCGGACACGTCACGGGTAGGAGGAGCTCTCAGCGGACACGTCACGAGTAGGGGGAGCTCTCAGCGGACACGTCACGAGTAGGAGGAGCTCTCAGAGGTCACGTCACGGGTAGAAGGAGCTCTCAGAGGTCAACGTCACGGGTAGGGGGAAATAGCTTTCGCATGTATGCGGGGCCATTTATTGTTTGCTGGTGAGGGCACATATATTCATGCAATTTGTCATTAGTGATAGCGGCGTGTGTCGCGATGATGATATAAGCAATGGTGACACAAACAATGGCAGCGTGTGCATGAATAGATGGAGAAGGAGTCGTCGTTCACATCGCAACAATAAGTTGCATTATTGGATAGTTCTTACCATCATAATGCTAGAGACCTACGGGAATAATTGGGGCCCAGCAAATGCGTTATATCGCTAAATTAGTGTGAGTGTGGGGGGATTCGAAGGAAAAACGGTTAAGCCTGCCACTAAAATGCACCGCAAAACAGCTTTCTTCCCAGATTTGGCTCACTTCTTCCTCAAAGTTCGGGGTGGGTAGGTAAAGGTCGGGGTGTGGGTGACGATAAAGATGGACCCCCTGAACCTGATGGACCCGATACAACCCGACTGTCAAAGAACACCTTTAGGGCCTAGGATTAGATTTTCCCACAAATTGTTATCTTTAATGGTATTTTTAATATTTTTGACGGTGTTTTGCCTTTTGGTAAAACGCCGAGGGGCCGAAACAAACAATGGCGGTGTGGGAGATTGAAAAGAGATACGTAGGTCTACCCAACCCCATGATGTTCCCTCTAATACGGTCTGTGATGGGCTCTCCCTCAAATCGCCCGTGCCTGCACCGCTGATCGCGCATTTATCGAAGCGCCTGGTGGCTATCTTCCGGGCAGTGGGCATACGGGGAGGCAAATAACTGGCGCACAGTGGACGTTCAGCAGACACACGGGGCATGCAAGGGCGGGGCCGGAGACTTCTCGATGAACCACCATCACTCACACCGGAGCCCATGCAAGATGTAGGCATGACATGGTTATGCATTACTCACTTAGCATTCCATGGCTATTACGAGCTTATCATTTCCAATTCAGCATTCCACGGCTGTTACGAGGTTATCATTTCACCTTCAACATCCTATGAGTGTTCGATGGCGAGCAGTTCCAGAGAAACAGGAGGCGAGCCGATGGCTGGGCCTTCATGGAGCATCCAAGCGCGGGAGGAAACAGACCGAAAGCTGATGTGGGGAAACGGCCGGGGCTACCACTTGCCAATCGGAAATGCTAAATATAGTCAGTTTCTGAAAGGTGGTGTGGTTGCCGTGAGATTTGCTATCAATGAAGCTTTTTTCACCCTCGGGTAGAGTTGAGGGAGAAGCGGATGCCATTGCATGACGAGGTTGTTAACGGGCCATACGGCTAGGACTCAGATCCACAACGATCGAGATTTACCAACCGCGCCACATTCAAGGCGCTGGAAACTTGACAAGAAGGGGCGAGTCTCTCACAGCTGATTTAGGAGGAGAAGAAAAGAACGGTTACACTTAGAAACACCTTCGGACGTTCTGCGAAGTTTCCAAGGAGAGGCAGAAGTGAAAGGGGCATGCCACACCATCCGGAGATGGTTGTCAATACAAGTTCCTACAATTACAAGATTAGACCGCTAGCGGCAGTCGTGCATGCTGCATACCTGTGGCGAGCAGAAACGGGTGAGACGGAACACTGATTTGTCACACCGAAGTACGCAACAGCAGCCGACAGGAATACCGATGGGATCGCGTCAGGATATTTCCCGCTCGAAGGGACTATCCGAGCAGCTGAGTCACGTCTCGAACCCCAGCATCTCACTGGGACCGTGCATGGACACTTCTCCTCCACGTGAAGTGTCCATGCACGTGGAGGGAAAGTGTTCATGCACGTGGAGGGGAGGATATGTGACCTCCCCGATAGACTCCGCTGCCCGCGGCCGGTGCTGGGGCCACATCGCCGGCTGCGGACGGCGCGGCGCTCCCAGACCAGACGGCACCGGCCTCTCCCTCTATCCCCTCCCTTATAGACCCTGCTGCCCGCGGCCGGTGCTGGGGCCACATCGCCGGCTGCGGACGGCGCGGCGCTCCCAGACTAGACGCCGCCGGCCGCTCCCTCAAACCACTCCCTTGTAGACCCTGCTGCCCGCGGCTGATGCCGGGGCCACATCGACGACTGCGGACGGCGCGGCGCTCCCAGGCTAGACGCCGCCGGCTGCTCCCTCAAACCACTCCCTTATAGACCCCGCTGCCTGCGGCCGGTGCAGGGGCACATCGCCGGCTGCGGACGGCGGGGCGCTCCCAGGCTAGACGCCGCCTGCCGCTCCCTCTATCCCCTCCCTTATAGACCCTGCTGCCCGCGGCCGGTGCTGGGGCCACATCGCCGGCTGCGGACGGCGGGGCGCTCCCAGGCTAGACGCCGCCTGCCGCTCCCTCTATCCCCTCCCTTATAGACCCCGCTGCCTGCGGCCGGTGCTGGGGCCACATCGCCGGCTGCGGACAGCGCGGCGCTCCCAGACTAGACGCCGCCGGCCGCTCCCTCTATCCCCTCCCTTATAGACCCGCTGCCTGCGGCCGGTGCTGGGGCCACATCGCCGGCTGCGGACAGCGCGGCGCTCCCAGACTAGACGCCGCCGGCCGCTCCCTCTATCCCCTCCCTTATAGACCCCGCTGCCTGCGGCCGGTGCTGGGGCCACATCGCCGGCTGCGGACGGCGCGGCGCTTCCAGGCTAGGCGCCGCCGTCCGGTCCTTTAACCTACTCCCTTATAGAGCCCGGTGCCCACGGCCGGTGCGGGGGCACATTGCCGACTGCGGACGGCGCGGCGTTCTCAGGCTAGACGCCGCCGGCCGCTCCCCGATCTGCTCCCAGATTTGGGCGCGGCCGCTCTGCCGCCGCATAGGCAGATCAGCCGGCAGGAAGACCGCAGACGCGTCAAATTTGGCCGGTTGCGGCCGGTTGTGCTGCGAGGAGCACGGGCAGCACCTGCCACATGTTTGAACTCATGGGCCGGATGGCCACGGGGAGGATCACATTGTACCCAGGTAAGGGAGGGGTGGCATAAACTGGATCAACGTGCATTATTAACTGAAAGGTCAGCTCCCCGTCTCCGGAAGTGTCTGTTAGTGAGATGAGGGGAAAGACGTAAGCTGCACTCTGGTGATTTCAACGTCACAAAAACAAGACTTTCGGTTGTTCCTATCTACAAGCAACAGGGATATCTAAAGCAATACTTCACAGGCAGCCCGCCTTTTTCACTCTACGTCAGTCGTGCCATTGCACATGGGCCATGACTCGAGCGGACGCACGTTCAGCGCCTTAAACGCCCACTCGGTTATCCCGATGTCCCCGCACCATTACCGCACACAAATCTCAAGTGATCACGGCTCTGCTCTCACCGCACGGCCGCCTCGAAGAGGACGCTGAGACAGACACCTGACAGCGGGAGGCTGGCCCAGCTGGCGCGGCCAACTCGGTCCGTCGACCTCAATGAACGTCGAGCTCGACAGCGTCCTGGCATGTGACCCGAGCCGGACCGGGCCGCGACGACGCCCGGCTCCGTCCCTAAGTCCGCTCACTGATGCTCAGACACCGGGGTCCAGGCCATCCGCCGAGGGGGAGGGGAGGGGGACGTCATACACGGGCAGGGGCCAGGACGGAAGGGATCAGGTATCAAGGCCTCTTCGCACCAAGGCTCCTTTTCGTGCTGGTGGAGAATGCGGAAGGGGCTTAAGCTCACTGCTCTGCGGCAATCCTTCCTCCGATTGAGCGCGCCCCTGACGTGAGGCCGTGGTCTGTTGATCCGGGCCCACAGTCTGTTAGTCTGGGCCCGTGATCTATTCAGTCAGCCAGGCCAGACGGACGCGCCAGTGACGGCCACGAAACCAGCATGACATAACCACTCTCCAGCAAGGTCGCGGTGGGCCAGCCCACTGGCCAGTTCAGGGCAGCACTAAGTCACGGAAGCGGGCACGGAAACGGTCACGGAAACGGTCACGGGCTGTCGGCCAGCAGAATAAAAGATGGTGGCGGCCAGTCTCCAGCAGTCGTAGCCCCGCCACGTCACAGCATCGCGGTCACAGCGCGGTCACAGCGCGGTCACAGCGCGGTTACAGCGCGGTCACATCGCGGTTCCGTGACCCTCACGACAGACCAACAACACGCCCGAGACACAGTCAAAGTCACGCTCACGGTCACGGCAGGCGGCATCCGCGACAGTCCGTGGCAGTCCGTGGCAGTCCGTGAAGTCTGTGACCATCCGTGGCAGTCCGTATCAGTCCGTGAAGTCCGTGGCAGTCCGTGGCAGTTCGTGCAAGTCCGTGGCAGCCCGTGGCAGAGTCCATGAAGTCCGTGGCAGCCCGTGGAAGTCCGTGAAGTCCGCGGCAGTCCGGGACAGTCCGTGACAGCCCGTGAAGTCCGTGACAGTTCGTGGCAGCACGTGGTAGTCCGTGACAGCCCGTGGCAGCCCGTGAAAGTCCGTGAAATCCGTGGCAGTCCGTGACAGTTCGTGGCAGTCCGTGGCAGTCCGTGACAGTTCGTGAAAGCCCGTGGCAGTCCGTGACAGTCTGTGTCAGCCTGTGTCAGTCCGTGATAGTCCGTGACAGTCCGTGTCAGTCCCAACCGCCCGTCGTGCCAGGATCGGCCAGGCGGCGCCGAATGCGCCGGAAGAGTGGCGGTGTTCCTGTCCGCGGACCCGCGCCGCACCGCGGAGAAGGACGTCCAGATGACGCGCGCACGTCATCGGACAGCAGTGACTGCCCGGACGGCACGATCGATCGGGACAAATGAAAAGTAAGAAAGTTACACAAGAATGAAGAGGCAGACATGCAGCTAATAACGCTATAGTAGTGCTATGCCTATACGTCACAATTGTGTTTACATGACACAACGTGCATACGACTGCTTATGGGTGCTTTTATCACCAAATGGGCTCAAACTATGGACAACTCTCTTTCCACCGATTAAAAACCCTGTTTTCTATTTGCGGTTCAAAACTTACTTTTATACAATTAACTCAAGTGCAGTGCCTGTTACTTACTAGGGTTCGACACCGGCAGTGTGACTTTTCAACGGGATGACACGCGTTTCGCTGCAGATGTTACCGACCTCCACCGCACCTTTCCACCCAGACCGCCTCACCCCCATACCGGGCCAGACCCGTCGAGCTGTCATGACCGGTCTTTCCCGCGCGTCATACCCTCGCGGCGACACTCGCCGTTCCCGCCAGCGGCCATTCCCCGTCTCAACGGGTGACAAGAGCTGTCGCCGGCCGTCTGCCCATCCGCCTGCGGCCGCAGTAATGACCCTAACAACGCAACGCCCGCGGCGGGGACGGGTCGGCTGGGGTCGCGATGCCTGAGGGCACGACTGACGCGGCCGACGGGAACAGGCGGCGACTGTGGGAGCGGGGAAAGTCGCAGGAGGGGGTCGCCGGCGGTGATGACGGGGAGGAGAACGTGGCCGGCGACGTTAGCTGCGGGCTGTTGCGTTCACGCACACAGTAAGCGATGCAAGGTGCACCAATTCTCTGCACGTGATGATGATAAATTGCAGCATCTGCCGCATATGCCGCACCATTTGCTAGTCATTCTGGACGGCTTTTCGCCACAATAAACAAGCTAGGAGCGGAGCACTCTGGGAGTTTGTTAATTAGTGTTGCGGCACGCCAGTCCAGCTCTGAACTTCGCTGGATGGTCCCCAAGTTGGTGGGACGGGAGCGGGGTTTGCATAATATGGTTAGCCAACGCCGGAAAGTTGGGCCTGATGAGGGACATTAATGGCGTCCGCGAGACCTCGGGATGGACGACTGCCGGAGTTACAGGCCCATGACCTCATTCACGACATGACAAGCGGAGGTCGGCCGGTCTCTCGACTGCGGCGACTCTGCAGCCCCCATCCCACTCTACACTACTTTCACAGTGTTTTTCGGTGACTAAGACTCTTGTATTTCTCACTTGCGCCACTGTTCGGTTCTCCCATTACTTCATCATGACACGGCCTCACGTTTCTGGCCACGGCGCCCGCCTTACGCCGTCTCCCATACAACCTTCTCACCCCGTCTCCCACTTCACCTTCCCGCTCCGTCTCCCACACCACCTTCTCACGCCGCTCGCAGGCGACTTCTCACGGCTCTCACCGCGCCGGCCGCCGGTGCTCACCATGCTGAGGTCGTCACGCTCCTTCACCAGTCGGCGCACGTGGCGCACCAGCAGCTGAAGGTGCGGGTCGTCCCCACTGGATGCTTGCTGATCGCTCCACTCCTGCGTCCACACCGTCTCCGGGTTGTCCGTCACCTGGCGACAGGGTGGGGGGTGACGTCAGAGACGACGACGAGGCGACGAGACCGGGTGCGGTGACGCGATGCCACGTGGCCTCGGATGTACATGGGGTCACGTGGTCTGATGGCGTCACCTGCCACGATGGCCTCACACAACCCGGTGAAGTCACACGATGCATTGATCTCGCGCGTCAGGGAGACAGCGGCACGTATTCAAAATTGTCCTCGGGGAATGTCAAGTTTTCTGCAAACTTCCGCGAATTTGGAACGCATTCCCGCGAAATCCCCCAGCATCTGGTGTACAACTCTGGGTTCAGAGGGAGGGATATGCCCCCGTGCCCTCCCCCTTGACTTCGTCCCTGCGATGGCGTCGCGTGACCCGGGCCTAGCAACATCAAATAACCTGGTGATGAAGCCATGGAGGACACGACCCAGTGACATCACACCCGACGACGTCACGCAGACTAGTAACGTCGCGGGACGCAGGCCCGCTCGTCCTCACAGTCCCAGCCGCCCGACGCGGGCGGGGCTCGGGAGAGAGGGCGCGGTCCACACACATGGAGCACTTCCGCGTCACGATCGCCGCACAGCCCCCCCCCCCCCCCCGCCGCGGAGCAGCGACAGCACGCGCCCCAGCTCCAGCCGCGCGGGACGGCCGTGAGAAGCTCGCATCCCGGCGCGCCGAGTACCGTCTCGAGGCTAGCGGAGGGCGGGCGTGCCGGGCCCGCCGCTAGCCGGTGGGGGAGGGAGGGGGAGGGGATGGGGCTTGTGGTCATTCTTGCGGAAGGGCTCGGCGCTGGGTGGACCTCGCGGGCAGACGGAATCATGGCGGGATACAGCCGCATGCGGGGAAGGACGCAAGCTGGCGAGAACTCTTGCGTCGGCCAACGCTGGGCGGCGAGTCCGACGGGTGCAGAGAGCGTGAGCGGTGAGTCCCACAGGCGCAGCACTGAGGACGGTCTGATGCGCGGTCAGACAAGGTCATCGCCCTCGCCCAGAACTGCTCGCGGAAACCACCGGCCGGATTCAGTTAAGGCACACCGGCCGCGCCGAGCTCACCCGCCACGACGGTTAGGAGTAAAGGGCTAACCAGCGGCCAGACGACGCACACGGATGGTTGTCCTCCATCGGCCATTTACGATCAACTAAGGACCGCTTTAGGATGCACTGGCTCCAAGACTGGGCACGGCGCCGCGTCGACGTACACTGCGGGCGCCAGATCGACCTGGCCCGAGCTGCGCCGCCTTTACCGTCATCGGTTTCAGCAGGTGACCAGGGCGAGCGTTCCCACGGCAGGCGAGAGATGACGTATGCCGCAGCGCAGCCGGCGTGAAACGAGATGTATTTCGCGGGAGGTCCCATGCGGTGCACTCCGAGAGGATTGAACTGCGGGCCACAGCCCCGACACTCTGGTCCATTCATTTCGCTGTTCCGCCTCTCAGGCGATGCTAAGAGGTAGTAAAGCGGCTGTTTTAAGAGCGCATTGTGTCTGGACGTTACAATGCGGTTCTGTGAATAACCCATGAAACCGAAGCTTCCAGCCGCTTTAAAGGGTTCACCTTTACTCTGATCAGCCTGGTCATCAGTGAGTTTTTATGAGGCGGAGCGCTGGATTGAGGCAGACATTTTATAGGTGCCTTTAAAAAGGCAGACACGTTTGCACAGACCGGAACATATTTCTCATTTCAAGGTGTAGGCAATTAGACTCTTATATCCGCAAGCCCTTGCAGTCCGTCCATGAAGACAGATGGTGCATGTACCAAAGGTCTCTCGTGGCTTAGGACCCAGCGGCCAGCTGCTGAGTGAATTACGGCCTGGGAACGTTAACTCAGCCCAACGGCTGGGGGTGCGTCACACAAATATTATATCGGATCAGGCAGCAAGCTTCGAGGCGCTGAAATCGGCCAACGTTGCCCTACAATCGGGTGTAATTGAATAAGTACCTGAATAATAAGACACAACTGGTATCGTAATAATGAATAATGCATGACGGATGTAGCCTTATTCGGCGTTCTGAAGCTCATTATCAAATCTGCAGCAGCGTGGGGTAAAATCTCTCTTTTGAGGCTTTCAGTAATATCACTATGCTCCCTCTTCGTCCCCCTTCTAATTAACAACCTTTTTCCACTGGTTTTTCGCGCTGACCATAACGGTACCACCCACGCCTGCTGCCTCACGCCTGCTCCCCCTCAGAGCTCGGCGACGCTCGCCACAACACCTCGGCGGACCAAATCTTCCGTCGACGGCGCTCACGCACCTAACACTCGGAGGAAAAACAAACGGCCGCTCTCGCGTGCCGCGGCCATCACGCCCGGACGAGCAGATCGAGGCTAAGCAAACACCGCGGAGCTAATCCCCTGACGCGGTGTGTCGGCCTCGGGCGATATGAGACGCCGACACTTGCATCACGTCGCCTGCAGCGCGGACGGACGACACCGAACGGTCCTCTCCACAGGCGTGCCGTCAGCGCCGGGGGGCCGGCAGCCACGTCCTCTATCGTCATCTCGCTCCACCGAAGCGACGTTTCAGCCCACGCTAAACGCCTCTTCCATCGTTTCCTGGCAGCATCTCCTCGCCATGCCCGCCAGCGCCGCCACCGGGGACTGTCTGAACCGTTCGGGCAGCCTCCGCGCTCCATTAGCTGACGTCCGGACGGCTGGCTGGGCTGCCGTCCGTCGGCCAGCCTGCTCTCACGCCGGAACTACAAGAGGCCGTCACGCAAAGCACGCGTGCGCGCGCGCGCCGGCACACGGCCCGTCATTTTCACACCCATCTCATTACAGCCGGCCCGCTTGTCAACAACGCCTGCCAGCTGGCCACGGGCGCAGCCAGTTGAGGGGTTAGGGGAGGCCACGGGAACAGAGTGGCTGATGGGTGGGTGGGTGGGGGGGGGGGCGTTTGCAATGGTCTACTGGCCAAGGCTGAGGACTAAAATTAAACCAAGCTCGATGGCAGGGCGGTGGTGCATGGCCCCGAAGGCGATATCAAGGACATGTTCCACCTCGCCCATTTCTATTTTCTTCCTACATCCTGGCAACCGGCACCTCGAAGCAGCCGGTCGATTCGCTAAAAAGTGACGCGGGGGACACCAGGAAGTGATCTGGTGGCTGCACCAGGCAGCGCTACAAACCGGTGTCTCGGCCCCATCTGAGCCACGTGTCTGCACAACGGATCAGCCGAGAGTCTGGCGACGCAGGCCGGCCGGCACCGCCACCCCCAGAGCACCCTCTCCGGCGACGCAGGCCCGGCGGCAACACCACCCTAAGAGCACCCTCTCTGGCGACGCAGGCGGGCCAGCACCGCTACCTCCAGAGCACCCTCTCCGGCGACGCAGGCCGGCCGGCACCGCCACTCTCAGAGCACCCTCTCCGGCGACGCAGGCCCGGCGGCAACACCACCCCAAGAGCACCCTCTCCGGCGACGCAGGCCGGCCGGCACCGCCACCCCCAGAGCACCCTCTCCGGCAACGCAGGCCGGCCGGCAACACCACCCCCAGAGCACCGTCTCCGGCCGGGAGGCGAGCTCAGCCGGTCGATGCCGTCCAGCTCCGCCGCCCGTTGACGCGACTCGGGGGAGCGGCGTTCATAAGGCGGGCGGCCGACCGCGGCGAGTTCATGTCGCTCGATGCGTGTCGCCACACAGAGCGGCGAGCGGACGGCGGCCAGGACACCCGCCGGCGGCGTCTCGGTCAATACGGCAGCCCCCACCAGCGCGCTGGCTCGGCCGTCGCCAGGCGCGGCAGGTGCTCCTCGGCCGCAGTTTCGACGGTGGGGCCGGCCGAGATTGGTCTCGATTTCGGCTGGGAGGCCGCCAGCCGGCGGCGCGATATTGCTTCATAGCGGGCCGGCCGTGCACTCGTCGGCCGCAGCTGCCGGCTCTCGACTGACGTCTGCTCGCTCCGGCGCCGGCTGCCGGCGGCGACGCGGCCGACGCTGACGACGGCACGCCGGCGATCGTCGGAGGCGACGGGGGAGGCGCCGCTCGCTCGTGCGATGCGAGATTGAGTTTTGCCTCGGGCGGCGTGCGAGTGATATCTTTTGGAACGTCAGCCATGGCGGCTCAGGGTGGCGGCTGTTTGGGAATATTCTAAGAATATACAATCCACATTGCCTGTCTGCATGGCTGGTATGCCTCGTTATTGCCTGTCTGCAGGCATTACAATAACGGTTTATCACTCTGGCAACAGGCATCACCACAGGCAATCAATCATTTACCCAAATACCTCACCCAGTCTGTAACCCACAAAACACGTATGTAGGGCGGAGTTACAGTTAATCGATAGCTCTCTCAGATGCTGCAAGTGCACCATACGTGACCTGTAACCAACAGTTTGTTATCTCGAACTGCTCCCGACACATACACATACACGCCCTGAACTGAGCAATTGTAACCTCCACCCCGATCACAAAGAGACAAATAGTCTCATCCCGCGATGGTGTAGCCCAGCCTGACCGTCTGCCCCGGCGCGCCGCCGCTCGTGTCAACGCGCGGGGAGGGCCGCTCGTCGGCGCCTCCCCGCTCCTCGCCCACGCTCACCGTTTGCACAGGCGCTCGGTTCCGCCGGCGTCGGCGCTCCACGGCGGCTGCATTGCCGGGCCGATGGCGGCCGGCGCGACGGTGACGCCGACCAGTCGACTCGAGACGGACGTAAACGCGTCTTATTGCCGGCACCAGCCGGCCGCGTGAGATCGAGATGGAGATTGCGATAATGCCGGCGGGGAAAACAGACGGCCACAGAGATGAGGGAAGAGACCGGAAATGATTGGGAGGTGGTGCGACCCGTGCCGCCGGGAGACGGGAAGTACAATGAATGAGTATGGAGAGAACCACGCGAGCTGACAGCAGAGTAATGAAGACAAATTTCGACGGAGAGTAATGCACACAAATGAAGACGTATCTGGACAAATGCAGGTGCAGAGTTCCGGGGAAGGGAGGCCACGGCGAGTGGGATACCCGGAAACCTTGTATGCTGTGTCGGTCAGGAGCCCAGGGGATGTGGTTCATGGTTCACTTACGGCCTGAGAAAGCACGACATTTATGCCATAGGGCACTTTGGAGGGGCCGGCTTTACAGTGCAACTCGCCCTATCCACTGCTTAGAATAGAAAGGCCCTGCGCCCGAGAGGAAGAGAGCTTAGGAGGGAGAGAGGGGGAAGGACAGGGGGAGATATACCGCTCCGTCTCGCTTAACGAGACGCAATCTGGCCGAATGACCCCCAGCCTCGCACGCCGGTCAGAACGGCTCACTGAGCACGCCATGGCCGCTTATGAGTCGCCTCCGGGCCGTCGGCACGGCGGCGGACATGCCCTGCGGTGAGAACGGCCGCCGTGCGCCGGGCGGTCCGGTGCTGGGACGCGCGGCACGCCAGCCCCGACGGCCGAGACAAACGCGTGTAATCCGTCGACGCGGTGGTGCGCGGCCTCGCCCTCGGCGCACAAACAGTGCCCGGCGGCGGCGGCCAACCCGACCGCGCTCCAGCCGGCTGGACCAGACGGCTCGCTCGGGCTGGCTTCTCGGAGCACTGCGAGGACTCAGGGGTGGTCCCGTTGCTGGGGAGAGCTGGGACCTTGACGCTCGGCCCCAGGTGGAAGATTCAGACACGGGCTTAGCCCTGTCAGTCCTGGGTAAGCCCCGGGACAATCACGTACATGCCATGGCGGGAGGCTGGACGGGATTGACGTCCCGGTCTGCCCCGAGGCCGGCCACCAGACCCTGGACGTCGCCGGGGCCCGCCCAGACCTGTCGCACCGTTCGCCGCGGGCCAGATCACAGGTGCGCTCATTACGAGCAGCACGGCGCACAAAGGCCGGCCTAAGCCACGGCCCGCGGCGGCGCGCTTCGCCGCGCTCCGAAGCCTCGCAGCGGATCGCGACTGGACCGGTAGACCCACTGTCTCACCGCCCCGAGGACCCCTGCAACTGGACCGGCCGACCCCCGCGACTGGACCGGCCGACCCGCCGTCTCACCGCCCCGAGGAGCCCTGCGACCGCCCGCTGGGCCGGTGGTCCGCTATGCCGCGGCCTTGACCCACACCGCGCTCCGCCCTCCCCCCCACGGCGACGGTATCGCCGCGGCTGCGCCAGAAATGAAGCGATCTCGACAATCCGGTGTCGGCCGGCGGCACCGGGTGGCCCATGCGGCGTATTAAGTGCGCTACTTCAGAGACATTTGGCAGCGCTGGCAGCCGCAGGAACACGCGGAGAACAATATTTATCCCGTGGAAAATGGCCTAGGCTGTAGCACTGTTTTGTCGTGGAAACGAAAAAGAGGCAGACTGGTCGGTGTAACGACTCTGTTGTTACGACAAAAGCACGGAAACAAGTGGTCAACACCCTTGTGTTTTAAGGAAAATGTTGCATCCTTGTAAGCATTCTGCTCCGAGGTTTCCGAGCAGACCAAGGTTTTGTTTTAAGAATTACGTGACTGCAATGTCGAAAAGTCGTTCACATTAATATCTCCTAATCTGATCTTAGCGCACCGCAGTGTACACCAGCAACACGCGGAAATAGACCTTAATATGCTCGTTAGCATATCCAATCCGGCTAACAACTCTAAAACCACCCTGAGCAATGAAGTATGATGCTAATACAGACCTCCAGCATGGTCACCGGGCGTGAGTCGAGCATGAATCGAGTCTGACCTGATCCGCCCGTGCTCAGGCGATCCCACGGGCCCGTGACCCCTGACACCGGGCTGCCCCCACCGACCTGCTGGATGCACTCGACGATAGCGTGCTGCGTCTGGTAGTCCATCAGTTTGATGTTGTCCACCACCTTCTGTTTGCAGCTGCACTGGACGGCGCAGCCGAGCACCAACAGGAGGAGGCGGCGGAGCTCGTCCGGCGCCGCCTCGGCCTCCGAGCCGAGCCGCACCACGTCCGGCAGCCGCGTCACCACCGTCTGGCCCAGCACCACCTGAGGACAGATCAGAGGTGTCAGAAGATGGTCACCACCGTCTGACCCAGCACCACTTGAGGACAGACCGGATGTGTCAGAGGAGGGTCACCGCCGTCTGACCCAGCACCACCTGGGGCGGTGGAACGGGGGGTCGAGGGCAGGAGGCGTCACCATCATTTGACCTAGCACGCTCCGGGACACGGACGGGGTCTCCGGACAGCGTCACCGCTGCCTAACATTTGGCACGTCCTGGAGGTTAGCGGATGGTGCCGTCAGGAGAGAGACGCACCGCGCTTCGCTGCACACCCTGGAACGCGACACCAGAGGATCATCCATGTGCGGCCATTCCTTTCCCTGATTGGCTGGAAAGGGGGGGGGGCTGCTATTGGGACGCAGTGGACGTCACAGACACCCCACCTGCTGTGGGCCACAGGCAAACAGGCGCTCAGTATCAGTCTCGCCGCAGCAGATCAAAGAGCATGGGTCGTGTGGCGGTGGGTCGGCCGGACACCCTCCACAGATGCGGATCGATGTCGGCTCGGAACAGCGGGCAGGCGCGTCGCGCCAGGTTACCCGGCGGAAAGGCGTGGCCTTTTCCGCGGCAGACGTGCTATTAAGTGGGCATTCCCGAGGCCGGCGTGAAAGATGTGCTGGTACATGCTGTCGCCACGCAGCACACGCTACATCGGTGTCTGCAGACACTGATAGAGCGCTGGCTGGAAGGGTTTCTGCGCTTTGGTGCTCTTGCTGCAAACGACGCAATTCCGGCTGACTGATGTCCGCATCATGGACCCCAGACGCTGTCAAATGACAATGCATGCTGCAACGCTTGTTAATCAATGCATGCAATCCGAACCTCGAAGATGAATTAATGATAGCTCATTTTCGGCCGTGGTGCCGAGCAGAGCTTCTTCAGATGTGAAATTTACATCGCTGATCAATCCCAGGCCAGCACGTAATGACTTGGCCGGACGTTTTAGACAGCTGGACCAATTGGGTGCTCCACGGTATATTTCACAGAAAACCGATCAATGCTTGGCAATGCAGTGCCACTCAAAGGTCGCGTCCTGACACGTAGCTTTGCAAGAACATCATGCGTGGGTTGATGTAGCTTTGTGTCTGCTTGAGCGCTGAACGATTATAAAATAAGCGCATTCGCCTACACCGAAAGCGCAGCGATGAACTTGAGTGGGTCCCCACTGACATACCTCGTTTGGTTGAAAACTTATCTTTGGTCTCAAGTCGTTCGCTTATGTGCGCATTGAACCCACGCAATCAACACAACTGGTGTGAACTGATTTTACCGGCTCGACTTCCGAGGTATCCTGACCGCTGGACTCCAAAAGTATTCCCCAATTCGTCAGCATCACAGATCACGGGGTTTCGTCGCTTAAATAACTGCTGGCGAATCCTTACCAACTCTTCCATTTGGTTGGTGGGGAGTGCGGTCTCATGCACAATAATTTCACCATCGTTCTAAGCTAAAAGACATTGCTTCGTATGACATGTAGACGACATACTCAAGGAGGATAATAACATCGCTAGATAAGAGAGATAGCGAGAGCACAGGGATAACTTGTAGAACGTATTCAAAGAACGCATTGCCGTGCACAGGAGAAAACTTGCTTGGCATTTACAGGTCGTGTGTCAGGAATTTACTTCGTTGCATACCCTTCGTTCCTTTCACCCACCACAGTGACAACTTACATGCTGTCAACTGTGTTCCCGGAAAATGGTTACATGCTCAGAGCTGGTTTCCTTTTCCAACACGCTCCATAGCAACGGGGCGGAAATCAAAGTTAATCTAGTTGACTTAAGCGCCCCAGGCCTGCACAATGAATTTGATAACATGTCAACGAATGTGATACTGAAACGCCATGCAAATGCCGCCGGCTTCACACCGAACCGTCTCTCAACAGATGCAGCATTGGATCACACGTGGCCATACGCAGAACCAAATGGTCTCTGGATCCAACATGAGCCAAGATAAACGCATGGCTTCAGCGCCAATCACAAACGATCGTCGCACACCATGACCGCATCACAGCAATCAGGCCACCGCAGATCGATAGCACACTTTCTGCTCGGTGGACGTGCTTACGTCGTGCCTCAAAAGCACATCCGAACAAATTGTCCGTCTTCAGGGACCGCGCCGGCGTGGCGATCAACAATAATCCATTCCCAGGCCGCCATTAGACGGGGCAGGCCGAGCCGGCCAGTCATTATTCCCATTTAAGACGTAATCAAATCCCGCCGGTCGTCCGGCGGCGCAGGACGCGGCGTGGGACCCGGCGGGCGCGGCCGCAGACCGCTACCCATTACCCGGCGAGCAGATCACGGACACCGCGCCGCCGCCGCGGACAGCGCCGTCGCGCGGCACCAGCCGTCTCGTCGACACGGGCCGCCGGCGTCGGTGCCGGCGAGCGCGCGCCCCGTGCCGTCGGCGGAGCGTGCCGCCGCCCACGGCGCCTAATCGGACGACCGTTGGCTGGGCGGCGGCCCGATATGCAGCTCCCCGACCGGAAACGGATCCGTCATCCGACGGTGGCGGCCGGCCGCTGCCGCCGAGAGGCGCGGCGGTCTGCTGGGCGCCGGACGCCGGGCGCGCCGGGGCGGCCGCCACGCAGGCGCGGCAGCCCTAGTCCGCGCTCGCTGACGTGGGTGCGCGGCCCGCCGGCAGGTCCCGCCGGTCTGGGCCAACCGTTGGCTCGACTTCAGCTGCGGGTGCGGCGGTGGGACCCGAGGGACGATTGGCAGACAATCCGTCCGCTGACGGTGCGCTCCCACGGTCTGGCCGTGGCCAGGCATTACCCCCGGCGCCTGTTTCGGCCATTTCTACGAAAAACAGGGGCCCCGATCGAGGCCGTTGCCGCAGTAGAGTCTGTCGCGATAACACAAGACGAATGGTGGAAAATCGCGACTTAGCGACGCTGGAGAATTGGCCAACTCGGACGGCGAGCAGCGGCAGCACGTGACAACGGACCGGCCCGTGTCGTAACGTCACACCCAGACGCCAGACGTAACGTCACACCCAGACGCCGGCCGACAATCCGTTCAGCACTGACGCCGGCGTTTTTAAGGGCTGTTTTCGGTCAAGCGTGCATCGCCGGTCGTCTAACGCTCCTGCGGATTGTGACAGTCTATTGTCGCAGTGGGTTGCATTGTTTTGCTGCGCGTTCGTTGCGTCACACGGAAACGGGCCGGTGGCAGCGGGGCACGCAGACCTGGCGGGGGAACGTCCATCCCATATCCGGATATCCATCAATCTTCCTCACGGCCTCCGTGGGGTTCACCTCAGTGCAGTATCAGACCCAGTCAACACGGCAGACGACCTGTCCTGGCGGTCACCTGACGTCCTCAGCGTGGCCTCAGCCAATCATCAGCGGCCGCCTCCCAGCTCCACCCGAGCGGCGCTCGACAGCTGGGAACCTCGGCAGCCATCGCCGCCAGCACCGCCCGCCGGTGGACAGTGCGTGCGGGGGACGGGTTGAGTGCGTGTCAGCCGGCCGTAGTCTGCGGCCGTCCCGGCGCGCGTGACGCACGCAGACCAGTAATGCGGCCAATCCGGCGCACGCGGCCACCCAGGGCGACCGGTGACCTCTGTTTCTGGCGAGTGGCGGCGGCCCGGCCGACCGCCGTCCATCAACAGCGCACCTGGTCCTCGCAGACCCGCCGGTAAACAGCGTCCGACCAGCCGGCGCCCGGGGGATGCCATGTTGACGGCGGATCGCCCCGTGTGGTACGCCGAGCGAGGCAGCACGCGGGCCCGAGGACCCGCGCGTCCGCGCTAAGTGCCCGGCTTTTTGCCCGCGCTGGAAACGCTAGCACATTGACATAAGCTACGAGCCCGCGGTAACGATGTGTGAATGGCGCCACTATATCACCCGCATTGGCCGAGCGGCAAATGGCGGTGCGCTGGGGGCGCCGCGGTTCAACAAAACAAGGTGACTTATTGGCGCCCATACCACACCACGCAGCACGGCTTCACGAGGCGCATGCGCTGCACCGGGCCCGGCAGTACCAGGCAGGACATTTCCAACGCATTATCTGGCAACGTCCGCTGCTTTCCGAGCTCGCAGCCGGCCGGAACGGCCGCCAGGTCACCCTGGTGACGTCAGAGGCTCGCCGTGCCGAGCTGCGTGCTGGCGGCGCAGCGCGTGCCGCGTCCGCCGCGTCAGCCAATGGAAGGACGTGAATCAGCAGCAGGGTATGAACAGGAGCGCAAAAATCGGCAGGGTCGGCTGGACAAAACAGCGACGGCCGTGTGAAAAGCGACCGCTGCATGCGCTCTGTGCCGCCAGGCGGCGGGAGGAAGTGGTTTGGCAAAGTGGACAGCGGGAGGGGAGGGAGGAGGGGAGGCGGGCAGCAGCGTGACCGGTGAGTCACCCCCAAATGTATCGCCCGGTCGACGGTGGAGGGGGAGTCAAGGACGCGCGCGCGCCGGTCCGCCCCCCACGAGCCGCCGTCTTCCTCCATCCCGCCCTCTGCCCGCCTCCCAGCCTCTCTCTCAGGTCACGGCTCTCCCCTCTCTCGTGACGGCTTATTCAAACGGAATCGGACGGCCGAGGCGGGATGATTCACTAAGAAAACACGGCACCGTCTGTGGACGCGTCTGGCCGCCCTCTGATCGTGTCGAGTGGGTCGTCACGACTACCCCCAGCCCCGTGACCCACGGTCGCCAGGACAGCGACGTGACCCACTGACCCGTGGCGCGGAGACGCGTCGCCGTCTCATCCTTCGGTCGGTCACACCAATTGGTGGAGGGCCATCGAGGAGCGGCCACCGCAGCCAGGAGATCGAGAAACTACGGCTTTAGTAATTCACGCATTCGGATTGAGAGCGGGACAGAGCAGCTACGCGCTTTGAAACAATTTTGACTCGCGACAGCTGAATCTTTTTCACAAGTCGGGCTATAATGACACTAGGCTGCAGTGACACTATAATGACACTAGGTGACACCTAGTGACACTAAAATGACACTAGGCTGGTGAAACGACACCACCTGAGATCTGCGGGCA